GTTACTCAATTTATTTGAAAAAGTCTAAAGTTCACGTTTCCCCAACACACTAATATTGGAAAAGCGGGGTTATTTATATTGGAATAAACTTAGCAGGTAAAAAGCTAGTGGTAAGGAAAAAGGACACAAAGGAAGAAGGTTAAGACCAATACTAAATGCCCAGCTCTCTAGGAATTGCAACTGTAACGAGTACTTCTTAATTTTCAAAGTTCTCTTATGTTTGCAGGTAGCTGATTTCAAAGAAAAATGCAGGAACACGATGAGGCTCTGTACCCTGTCCCTAGCAGAGTGCGGGTTTCCAGGGTGGGGACCACACAACCCAGGCTTGACTCCTCCAACACAGACCGGCACATACTGGGTGCTGAATAAATGCTGAGAAGAGAGATGAGGTCTCCTCTTTATACGGAAGACGCAAACCTCCCTTTCACCTTCAAACCAGAACCCGTGCATTAATTATTTCCAAATCTACAGAGAACATTTTTAAAGAACATGCCTGCTGCCCGCGGCTGCCCCTGCGAGCTCCCACGAGCGTCCTCCGGCCCTCGCATCTTCTCTAAAACCTGTTTGGACACTGTGGACCCCCTTCTTCCCTCACAATCTCTGGGCGTGTGCGTCTGGAAGTTTTAATAAGTTCCACGATCCTCCTTTCAGGGCAGAAGACAATCAGCTTGGACCTAAGAAAATCTGAGAATGAAAACGAAGGAGCCTTGCAAAGAAGCCTGTCTGTACCCCGTTCTGCGTCCCAGACTCGGGTGGCAGGGACTTCTAGTGAGTCGGAGCTCGTGGGCCCCGAGCCTCGGCCTCTTGGTCGTCTCCACTAAGAGATCCCCAAAGCCGTCCAACACCCCTTTCCTTCCCCTGAAAGCCCAGCAAGTCCGCACCGCGAGCGACGGCCGTCCCTAGATCTGCAGGAACCTGCGCGAAGCCCGACGGGCCACCAGGTCTTACAACCCGGGCTCCCACGGCTTCCAGCCTCGCGGACGCACGACGCCCTCCCCAGCCAGGTCCCCGCTCACCTTCGTCCGTTCCCTCGGCGCTGGCCGCGGCCAGCAGCTGCGCCAGAGCCAAGAGCAAGACGAGCACGCAGGCTTTTCGGAGCCTCATGGCGGCAGCAGCGGAGCGCGGCCTCCAGGTGCCGGCAGCCGTGGAGCACTCCCAGACTTGCCCAACGACAGAGGAGCGCAGAAAACACTCCAGGAAGTCCTCCCAGGCAAATGACCGGGGGCGGGGAAGCCGTCGGTAGGCCAATCCCCGCGCGCGGCCGGACGCGCAGGCAGGGCCCCTCGCTGCGTCCTACCTTCTCCCCCTCCCAGGCTCAGGCCGCGCCGGCGCGCCCCTGGAAGCGCGTTTAAAACTCCGAGCCCTAACGTGAGGTGCCCCCTTCTGATTGGCTGCGCGGCGGCCACCAATCAACGGCTGCCACTCGGTTTGCGCGGAGCGCACAGGCCGAGAGACCCAGCAGGGTAGAACAAAAGCGGCCGGCGGAGCTCAAGGGGGCGGGGCCTTGCAACGTATCAGGGTGCGATTGGCTAGCAGCGCAGTGGGCGTGGGGGGCGGGGCCTGGGAGCGGTGGGCTGTGCTGGCTGGGCTTCCCGCCTGGCGTGGCAGGAAGAACACGTGGCCTTAGGGGTGCTGTGGTGCCCTGCCCGCACAGTCCTAGAGAAGCGGGAACCAAAGGGGACGAGCATGAGCCAGTCTGTTGTTGGAAGAAGGAGAGAGACGGGCTCCCGATCTGCAACGTGGTCATGGGCTTCTTGGTTTCTCTTAAGAGTTTTCCCACATGTAAAGTTTGCAACTGGGTGTGGTGACACACCTGTAATCCCAGTGGCTGGGAAGGCTGAGGCAGGAGGATCACAAGTTCAGAGCTAGCCTCAGCATTTTAGCGAGGCTCTGGGCAATTTAGAGAGGCCCTGTCTCAAAAGTTTTTTTAAAAGGAGGGGAGCTGGGGATGTGGCTCAGTGGTTAAGCACCCCTGGGTTTAATCCCCTGTACAAAAAAGAAGAAGAAGAAAAGTGCATGTCTTTCCTGGGCATAGGGTTAGGGGATCCTCCTGGAATGACCATATAGTAAAGTGAATCCAGGATTTCATTTATGAGCAAGCCTTCAGATTCTTGTCTAAACTTTGCCTCGTTATTTATTCCTTCCCTGATTTACTTCAAAACATGAGTAATACCAGATAGGCAATCTAGTGGTTTACAGAAATCTAGATGCAGCTCTGAGGTTTTCTCTCTTGACTGTTTTGGAGAAGAAAACTAGGTTTGTATGTCAGAAAGGAAATCTGTGGTGTGTAATAGAGATTCTTATATATATATATATATATATATATATATATATATATATATATATATATAATTTTTTTTAACCCTGGGCATTAGTATGCCTGAATTATGGAAGACAAATAGGGAAAAACAAACAAACAAAAAACAATAAAAGTCCAAGAGTCCAGTAGTGGTTTCATGTGTATATAGATTATTAAGTGAGAAAGAAAGGAAGGAAGTCATTCACAGATGTTAGAAATTAGGAAATTTTAGTTAGTTTTTATTATGAATCCAATGGTTCCTCATTAATTTTGTAGAGGACAAAGACATGCTGCACCTAACTGTAACACCAGAGTATGCATGAAGTGATTTGTTACAGTGTGATAAATGTAGACTAACAATTTAATATTATTTTAAAGAACTCTAAAGAAAAAAGATTGAGTCCAATCAGAATTTTTGTCTTTCTTCATAGTTTTTTATGAATTTTCACTAAACTGAGAAGAATGAAGGCCTCATTTGCCCAGATGTGGGGCAACCAATTGCAGTAAGGCCCTTTGTTGATAACAGGTATGACAGGAAACCTGTCAAAGTGCAACCTATGTGTGTGTGTGCATGCACATACACACACACACACTCCTTGTGAAATTAAAGTGATAATGTTCTTTTTAAAAGCATTTGGGTGGCACACACTTGTAATCTCAGTTACTTGGGAGCCCTGAGTCAGGAAGATTGCAAATTCGAGACCTCAGCAACTTAGTGAGCCTCAAAATAAAAAGGGCTGGGATATAGCTCGGTGGTAAAGTACCCTTGGGTTCAATCCCCAGTAGCAGAAAAGAAAAATATTAAATCATTTAGATTAGAACAGTGGAAGTTCATTGAAAAACAAAATATGACTTTATCAAGTTGCAGATCTCCTTGTTCTTCATCTCTAAATCTCATCCAATTTGGTTATGGGTACAGCAGGCTGGGAGACCACTGTGAGGTGGACCACAGCAGAGAGAGAGGATTTCTTTAATCAAGATCTCCATAACTAGGGGTTGGGGTTGTAGCTCAGTGGTAGAGCACTTGCCTCGCATGCATGAGGCACTTGGTTCTATCCTCAGCACCACATAAAAATAAATAAAGCAAAGGTATTGTGTCCATCTACAACTAAAAAAATTTAAAAATAATTTCAAAAAAATCTCCATAACTATTGTAATTATATATAAAGGTTGACTGTTAATACAACTGGAATCTAGTTTGGAAACTTCATTCATATAAATGAACTCGCCCCTGGCTTGTCCCCTGAGCTGCCACTTAACACTATTAGGCTTGGTTTAGAGGTCAATTTGAACATGTGTTTTCCTCTACTCCTGCATAGCCCTTGGGGAATGGCCTATGGGGAATTAATCTTCCCCTTCCAGATTATCTCTAGATAGATCTATGACACCAATGTCTGCCATAACAAGCTGAGTTTATATGTGGAAAACTAAACTGGGACCAGACAGATGTACAACCTGTAGCCATGGGGTTTCTAGTCCATCCTATGCAAGAATTAAACCACCTGGGCTGAAACAATTTCTTGTATGTACTGGAGATCTTAGGAATGGTTGGTCCTACCTTCCTTTGATTATGATAAAGTTCCTTTTCAATAGAAAGGGGAAAAGTGAAATCTCTGCTTTTAGCTGGCATGGTAGTGCATGCCTCTCATCTCCTGTACTGGGAAAGTTGAGGCAGAAGGACTGTGCTTGAGCCCAGGAGTTAAAGGCCAGCCTGGGCAACAGAGAAACCCGGCCTCAAAAAACAAAAAACATATAACTGAAGCACACAATCTCTTGTGTAATTTTATATCCTACATCTTAAACTTAATATCACATCATGATTATTTTACCATGCTGTTACATTGTCTTCTGAGAGAGAACATCACTCTCCCCAGAAGGATTCATCTTGATTCATGATTGCAGACTGAAATGAGGTCCCATACCCACGCTCCAGCTACCCAAGCATCTACCTGAGGATGTATAACGATTAACTCCATTCTAGAGTTAAGGTGCATAAACACTATATTCAGATTCTATTACCATGTTTTAGAATATACTGGTATTTTAGCTACTGCATCTTCCAATAACCCTTCCATAAGGGCAATATTCACACATACAGGGGTGGACAACCTGACATTTAAAAAAAATTTTTTTTTTTTTAGTTGTTGATAGACCTTTATTTTATTTGTTTATATGTGGTGCTGAGAATTGAACCCAGTGCCTCACACATACCAGGCAAGTGCGCTGCCACTGAGCCCCAGCCCCAGTCCACAACCTGACACTTTTGCAACGGGTTGCCAGTGATGAGAACTTATTTCCAAAATTTGAGGAAATGGGTAACCAACCCAGTCTTTTGCTGTTGTTGTTGTTATACCAATGGTCTTAGTCACTATTTCTCTTATTTTGAGGTAAAGTAATTCTGCCGCACGACAGCATGCTAGCTTCATACTAGAGGTCCTAAAGCATAGAAGTTAACTAGTGAGATCAAAATAAACACACATAAACTCAATTTACCTTTTTTTTGACCAGGTCAGAGACGGCCCCCTCTGGCACTTGCCTCGAACCACTGGTGGGGTAGCGAGGTTTACACAAGAGACTAGCAGGAGAAAGGAAGGGCACGCCAGGGAGTGGCCTTTTATTGGGGAACAAGAAATTCAGGGGAAAATTCCATCCAATGAAGGTCGAGGGGGACAGCATTCCAAGGTCAGGGTCAGTGATTGGTCTCAGGGTCAATGGTCAGTCACACACGGATGGGCTCTCGCACCTAAAAAGGGTGGGGATTAGTTCTGACACAGCTTGGCCTGAAGGCCTCACACCCAGTCAGGGAGACAGTCAGGGAGGTGCCCAATCATGTGCGAGAACGGCTTCCCACAAGTAATTCTTAAGATTTTTATTTTTTATAATGGTGCTGGTTGATCAAACCCAGAACCTCACACATGCTAGGCAAATGCCCTACCACTGAACCACATCCTTAGTACCTTAAGGAGATTTTTGTGTGGGGGGCCGGGGGGAGGTGCTGGGGATTGAACCCAGGGCCTTATGCACACAAGGGAAGCACTTTACCAACGGAGCTATATCCCCAACCCATATTTTAACATTGAAAATAAAATTATTCAGGCTGGGATTGTAGCTCAGTGGAAGAGTGGTTGCCTGGCAAGTGTAAGGTACTAGGTTCGATTCTTACCACCACATACAAATAAATAAAAGTTCATCAACAACTAAAAAATATTTTTTAAAAAAATTTAAAAATATATAAAATTATTCTTTTGGAACTCAAAGTTGCACTGTCACCAAATGCTAGAATATTCCAGACACTTGGTATCATTACTAATGCTATTGGGATTTAAAGAAATTAAGCAGTAAAACAAATAAAAAACATAACCTCATATTAGAAACAAAAAATATTTATTGTATTTGTTGTGAATGGTAGAGTAGCTGCTCTAGAGTCAGGTTGCATGGCTTTGAATTTAGTAAGTCACTTACTAAATTATTATTTTTATATATTGTTGGACTTGACTTACACTTTATTTATTCGTTCAATGTTCATTAAGCACCAACTATGTGCCAAGAAGTTTTCAAAGCATGGTTCTACATTCAACTTGCAATATTTTGTGCTATTTTAAGGAAAATTTTTTAAATGTCAAATTTTAATTACTCATTGCAAGTTAACAGAAGTGCCATTGATTTTTGTACACTGACCTTGTATGAAACATTGCTAAACTCAATTGGTTTCAGTAGCTTTGCTGAAGATTTGACTGGTAGATTCTAGTTCTCTATCAATCTTGTTATCTGCAAACCTAGTTTATTTCTTCTTCATTGTGAATTCCTTTATTTTTCTTTCATTATTTCCTGTCTCAAACTTGTAGTATAATGTTGTTGATGGGTATTGATGAGAGTGGCTATATTTGCCTTGTTCAGTCTTTCCCACTATACATGATACTGACTGTACATTTTTAGTAGATGCTTTTTATCAGATTAATTTCTAGTCCTGGTTTCCTGAGTTTCTTCTTTCTTTTACTTTTTTTTTTTTTTTGGTGGGGGTCTTAGGGATTGAACTCTCAAGGGCACTTGACCACTGAGCCACATCCCCAGCCCTATTTTTGTATTTTAAAGACAGGGTCTCATTGAGTTGCTTAGAGCCTTGCTTTTTGAACTCCTCCTGCTCCAACTTCCCCAGCCCCAGGCATGTGCCACCAAGCCTGAACTGAGAGTTTTCTTTAAAACAGAAATGGATCATATTAATATAGATTATGTTAATTGATTTTGAAAAGCTTGACCTTTGTCTTCCTGTGACCTCACTTGGTTATGATGTATTATTATTTTTATATATTGTTGGACTTGACTTACAAAAATTTTATTGAGAGTTTTGCATCACGTTCACAAAAGACATTAGTGCTGGCCTCATAATTAGGAAGTGTTTTCTCATTTTCAATTTCCTGGAAGAGTTTGTGTAGAATTTGCACATTTTTCTTCCTTAAATGTTTGGCACAATTCTCTAGTGAAATTTTCTTTGTAGGAAAGATCTTAATTATAAGTTTGATTTCTTTAATAGATATAGAGCTATTCAGAGTATCTATTTCTTCTTGAGTGAACTTTGGAAGTTAGTGGAAATTTGCCCATTTCATGTAAGTTGTCAAATTTATTGGCATAAAGGTGTTCATAATATTTGCTATGGTCTGATTATGTCCCCCAATATTTTTATGTTGGAACTTAATCACCAATGTGATAGTATTGAGAGGCAATTAAGTCATGAGAGCAGAACCCTCATGGATCAGGAGGGAGCAGGAACCTTATAGTCAGAGACTGAGGGAGTGGGTTCATTCTTCTGCCATGCAAGGACATAGTGTTCATATCTTTTTGCATTTCTGTTTCTACCAGGTGAGGATGCCTCAAGAAGGTCCTCACCAGGCATTTTTTTTTGGCACTTTGTTAAGAATATATATTTTGGGGGGCTGGGATTGTGGCTCGGCGGTAGAGCGCTCTTCTAGCACGCGTGAGGCCCTGGGTTCGATCCTCAGCACTTCATAAAAATAAATAAATAAAATAAAGATATTGTGTCCAACTACAACTAAAAAAAAAAGAATACATATTTTTTGTTCTTTTTATTTATACTCACCAGGCATCTTGGTCTTCGACTTCCCAGCCTCCAGAATTGTAATAAATAAATTTCTGCCTCCTTTAAGTTAAAAAAAAAATGTTCTTTGTAAATTACCCAGTCTAAGGTATTTTGTCATAACAACAAGAACAATAAGACAATAGTCTTTTCTCATACTTTAAATAACTAGAATCTGTAGTTAGGTTACCTCTCTTATTGCTGATATAATTTCTTCTCTCTTTTTTAATGTTTAGTATGGCTGTGGCTTTGTAAATTATATTGATCTTCTCAAACAACCAGCTCTTATTTTCATTGATTTCACTTAGTTTTTCTGCTGTTCATTTCATTGATTTTTTAGCTCTAACTAATTCTTCTGCTTACTTTAGGCTTCATATTCCCTGTCTCTCTTAGTTTCTTCACTGACATGTGATATAGGCATTTTGTGTTATAAAACTCCCAATCCTGCCAAGTGTGGTGGCAAACTCCTGTAATCCCAGCAGATCAGGAGGCTGAGGCAGGAGGATTGTGAGTTCAAAGCCAGCCTCAGCAAAAGTGAGGCGCTCAGCAACTCAGTGAGACTCTATCTCTAAATAAAATAAAAAATAAGGCTGGGGATGTGGCACAGTGGCCGAGTTCCCCCAGGTTCAATCCCCAGTACCTGCCCCCTAAGAACAAAAACAATAATACTCCCAATTCCTGCTTCTCACCTAGGAATCTGTGACAAACTGGAACATGGAGAATTTGGAGGAAGGCAGGTTATTTAGGACAGCTGAGATAGCGTGAGAAGAGGTGAAGTAAGGAACACAGCTGGAGAAGATGGGGCCAGGTAATGAAGAGCTGTACCCTGAAGGCAGCCAGGAAGTGACTAGATCATGTCTGCATTTTATACAGATCAATTTGGGGCTGTGCGGAGGTAGAAGCAGCTGGAGTTAAGAGGACTAGCTAAAGGGTGGTCTCATGTTAATCCTGATGACAGATGGTGCAGAGAGGGGATGAAGAAAACTAGACAGACTGAAATGACAGTAAGGAGTTGAAATAAATGTGAAAATTGGTGATGGACAAAGATGTGTGGGGCAGGACCATGAAGAGTCAGGAAGCAGTGAGTGCTGTCCATTCAGTGAGACAGAGAATGCAGACATACGTTACTGGCAGGCAGAGACCAGGAGGAGTGAGGCAGGAAGGATTTCAGTTTGGGCCACTGACTTTAAGGTGCCTGTGAGGCATCCAGGTAAATATATAGTAGGCAGGTGGAAATGTGGGTTTGGAGCTCTGGAGAAATATGTAGCCAGTAGATGAATTTGCAGCCAGCATTGTATGAATTGCCAGTGGAATGTTGTTAGCAAAATAACTCATGGAAAATGTGCTGAATTAGGAGGAGGAATATGAAACTTTGGGGAACAAAGAGATTTTAGGGACCATCATTTTAGTATTAAGTAAATCATGGGCTTTTCCTTACAGTAATCAAGAGTCTGCTCCCTGAGTTTCAGGGAAGATTTAATTTGATCTCCAGATTATTACTGACATCAACCATGCATAACATTATTGCCAAAATCCAGTATACACTTCAAATGCCAAGGTATGGGTCAGTCAAAACTAGTTACAAGAAGCCTAGTAAGAGTAAAACCAAGCTGGGCACGGTGAAACACACCTGTAATCCCAAAGGCTTGGGAGGCTGAGGCAGGAGGATCACAAGTTCAAAACCAGCATCAGAAAAAGTGAGGTGCTAAGCAATTCAGTGAGACCCTGTCTCTAAATAAATACGGCTGGGAATGTGGCTCAGTGGCCAACTGCCCCTGAGGTCAATCCCTGGTACATCACCCGGCCCCACCCACGAAAAAAGAGTAAAACCACAACAGTGACCAGGAGGACTCTCTGTAAAGAACAGAGAGCAGTGGGAGAAAACAACATGGTAGCTTGGGTGGTATGCCTGGCCACACTGGGACATTATAAGGGTCTCTGCCCTCTGTGTAGACCCTGGTGGACAAGTGGGTCCTCCTTCAGGCTGGGAAAGCTTCCTTCTTTACTCTTAGGCACTGGAAGGCCTCACTTCACTGTGCACTCTGAGGGGCTCAGGGAGCTCAGACTGTGGGTAAGAAAAAGACCTCTTGGGGATATGGATACATGGACTTTGATGTCAGCTTGCAGTAAACTCTTATCATGTTCTGGGAACCTGTGTACAGAGGGAGGTGGGTGACAGGCTGAGATTTCAGGGGTTTTTCTCACAGTCACTGCAGGAGAACACTCTCTCTTCACTGTGTAGGTGTGGAGGAAGCCTGGAAGCAAAGTGGCCACATTCTGGACATGGGAAAGGCCTTTTCCCTCTGTGCCCATGCTGGTGATTGAACAAGTAAGGAGTTCCTCTTGCACTCAGAGCATGTGAACAGCTCCACCCCACTGTGCAGATGCATGTGGGTCCTAAGTTTTGACTCCTCAGTGAAGTCCTTGCCACCCTCAGTGGGGGAATGGCTCTCTCCCCAGGGTCCACATTGGCACTCCTCAGACAGCTTTTGTCACATTCAGGGTTCTGAAGGGCTTCTGTCTGTAGGCAGACTAGGGGTTGGCTAGACTTCTTTTCTGGGGAAGCTGCTGTCACACTTGACCAGGAGTCATGAGCCAACGATTCCAAAGATAACCAGAGCGAAAGTCCTGCCTACAGCAGCTATAGGGGAAGAGCTTTCCCTCCTCCAGGGCTCAAGGCCCTGGAGATCTGAGGGCTCCCTGGGCTTCTGATAGCCCTCTGGATACTCACAGAGTGGCTTTCCTGCTGTTCCATTGGTTGGCTCTTCACCCAGGAACTTGCTTCACAGAGCAGGAGTAGGGTCCCCACACTGAAGAGCCAGGAAATGGGCAGAGCCCTGAGGCTGTGTGCTTTAGAAAGGAGTTTGAGGCTCTTGGCAGTGCAGGTCCTTCACATCAGCTCTTTGGGTAGTCGTTGAAAATACCGCATATCCTTTTTCTATAAACTTTCTAGAGCAGCCCTGTCTTTGATAACCACCCAAATGGCAGCCCTCCTCATGTGGGCTTACTGTTATCTTGCTTTCCTGGAACTTAAAAGAAGTATCCAGTTATTCATGACTGATTGTTAACCAGATTAAAGAATAACTCTAACGTGGACCCCAAAGTGAACCAGTGACGGTGACCTTGGCCATTGTAAAATATCTAGTTTTCCACAAGAACTTTTTTTTCCCTTAAAAAACGGCAGCCTTGGGCTGGAGTTGTGGCTCAGCAGAACAGCGCTCGCCTCGCGCGCGGGAGACCCTGGGCTCGGTCCTCCACACCGCGTAAAAACAAATAAATAAAATAAAGGTATTATTTCCGTCTACACCTAAAAAATATATATATATATATATATATATATATATATATATATATATATAAAATTAAAAAATAAAACCGGCAGCTTCCAGTAACATCGCTAATACAATTAGACCACAAGATTCATTTGCAACAGACAGATCCACTATTGGACAGGTGACAAGGGATCATGAAGTGTCTTGGCTTACGTAGCTGCTCAGTCCAGGGCTTAATTTAATAAGATCAAACTGTAATTCGCATTTTTCTGCTCACGAGCCACAGAACTGGCTCAATTCTCAGTCCTTCCCCCGCTGATGTCAATGACCCCGCCCCGGCACCTGGTAGCACCTGAAGACTCTGCATTGCCTGAGCCCTCCTGCGAGGGTCCATCGAGGGTCCAAGACCGGTGTGGAGTCTGGGAGCTCTGAGTCACTCAAACCGCAGCAGAGAAGTTCTGAAAGCGGAGGCCGCGTTGTGGGCGGGGCCTGCCCCCCTGGACCCGCCCCTGGCGCCGTTGCCGTGGAGACACGCAGGGCTTCCTGGGAACACTGCCTCTCCCGCGCTTAGCTGCACCGTGAGCTTGGCTCCCACAGTGCCGCCTGCTGGCAGGATGCGAGAAGAGCTCACGCTGCCCCGATCCGCGTCGGAATCTCGATGGGTCTTCCAGGCGCAGAACAGTGGAAATCACTACAGTTCTGACCTCTTCCTCTTTGGGTTACGCAGCTTAGGAAATTAGGAAATGGTTAGCTCCTTTTTGTGTCTCGATTTTTGCTACTTTGCACGTTCTTCCTTCAAAAAGGAATTGTCATCACACAGCCAATTCACTCCTTCATCCACCCTCCTCACTCACCTATTCACGATGGTGGTTTTCAAGGTTCTGGAAAGATTTGGGCTCCTCCAGCTTTCCCCTGAGGACCTGGGGATGTGGGGAGTGATGGTAAGGTTCTGTATCCTTCAAAAGATGGTGTCTTGAGGACCTCCATAGTCCACTGGACACAGCAGATCGCAGTGGATCAGGATTTCATGGAGCCAGTGATTACCGACAGGCCTGCTGGGTACTTCCTTGGTCCTGATCCCCGTGACCACTACCTAATTCTTAAACGCTGTTCTGCCTTGACACCATGTATTTGTTTTCCTCTGACTACTTTATCCCAGATTTATTCTGAAGGGTCACACCAGGGGCATCCATACTGCTGCCTTGGTTCCCTGCTATCTCATTGTCAGGATTCTCAAGTATGAACCAGGAACCTTCACTGCCCTCCAAAGGGCTATCAAACCACTCACTGTCTAGACTTGATGGGAGTGGGCAAAGGCCATCAATCAGTCTTTAATGCAGGGATCTTGTTGAAACATTCCATTCGATATTTCAAATGGGATGGATGGATGTCAAAGGCTAAAGTAATGAATCTCACCTTGTAAGATTTCCTGAGACCATTGTGGCCATCCTTTGGTACTCCAGACCCAAGCAGCTGCTTAAAATATGACTTACTGTTTGAGGTCAAGCCCACAACTTCTATGAGTGCTGCTTGAGCCTCTTAAAGTATATGTATGTTGCTGACTTGGAACAAGGTGGTCTTGGAGAAAGTGGTGAGGAGAGATAAACTCTGGATATATTTTGAAGGTGAAAATACCAGGATTTGATAGAATGGGTGAGAGTTTTGAGAAAAACTATGCAAATTTTCAAAATTTCTCAAAAGAGAAGTCAAAGACAATACCAAGATTTTTGACCTGAGAAGCTAGAAGGTAGAGTTTCCTTTCACTGATGATAGAAGAAACAGGACAAGGGAGGAAAAAATGAGAATTTGGAATTCAAATGTTGAATTTGAGATGTCTGAGAGACATCCAAATTGTCATGGTGAGAAACTACCCTTCTATCCTTTCAATACACCAAAAATGCATTTTTCAATCAGAAATTGTTGCCTTGCCCTCAGCAACCTCTTGCTTACCTATTTTGTGAGTCTGCCCTTTATGCATACTCTACTGGCAGATTCTCATCAGGCAATGGTTTCCCCTGGAGCTGTTCTCATAGAGTGAGCTCACAGTTAAGAATGTCTACAGCTTCCATTGCAGTGGTTTGTTCCCATTTCATTTTAAAACATATACAAACTGCCTTTTGTCAATTACACCCAAGAGTTTTTGCATTTTTATGTTTTAATAATTCCAATCTGCCTAATTTTAGGGTGACAGGAACCTCCCTAAAAAACTGTCTTGGTAGAATGAGACAATGAGTTGCATCCCATCTACAAGAAGTTTCCATGTCATCTCTAAATAATCCCTTTGTCCCCAAATTATAAATGGTTCCCATTAGTTCTTGGATTGCTTTTCGTCCCCATTTAAACAAAGAATCCCTTTCATTAGTGTTTTGTCTCTTCAAGATGATGCTGGGCCTATGTGATTTTTAAACTGAACACTTGGTTTTCCCCCATGTGCTTTTCTTTCATATTTGGACCCCCCTCACCCCACCCTCCACTTTTGCAACAAACTAGCTTAGGTAACTGTGTTGGTCTTTGGTGTCTGAGCACCTGCTGTTTCTTAGCCCTGTGCATTTCCTGGATTTCCAAATTACATGCAGCAAAAGGAATCCCTTCTCTGAAACCAGACCTGCAGAGAGCATCAGCATGGTCACTAACCAGGTTTGAGACTGTGGGTTAGACATTTATTGTGATTTTGTGGCCCTCTCTGTAACATTAGAGTATGAGAAAAATTCCTACTTGTATTTTAGAATTCTAAAAGGATTTAGAATTATATTTTTTCTATATATTTTGTATACATTATATATATATAAAATGTTTAGGGAGTCTTCAGGACCCCTGTGGGATAGTGAATTTTAAATTTCATTTTTCTGTTATGCTTTAAAATTTCAAAATTTTGTTATTTATATATATATTTAATGGACTTTTATTTTATTCATTTATTTACATGCTGTGCTGAGAATCAAACCCAGTGCTTCATACATATGAGGCAAGCACTCTACCACTGAGCCACAATCTCAGCCCCTACATAAATTTTTAAAAAATATTTTTTTAGGGGTTGGGGTTGTGGCTCAGGAGTACCATGCTCACCTAGCATGCTTGAGGCACTGAGTTCAATCCTCAGCACCAAATAAATGTAAAATAAAGATGTCATGTCCACTTAAAACTAAAAAATAAATATAAAAAATTCTTTTTTAGTTGTAGATGGACACAGTATCTCTTTTATTTATTTATTTTTATGTGGTGCTGAGGATTGAACCAAGTGCCTCACACATGTGAGGCAAGCACTCTACCACTGAGCCACAACCACAGCCCACACAAATTTTTTTTTTTTTGCATAAAGGTAATCACACCTGGGTTTTTTCACTGTTTTGTTTACTTCACCCACTTCCCCCTTTCATCACATATGCACATCTATGATGCAATCATAAAAACTGAACAGAAAAGAGGATCAAACTCTCAGTAAAAAAAAAAAAAAAAAAGGGGTAAAACTAGTGTTTGCACAATTCACCTTCTACTTACTCTCTTGTTTTCCACCTGTTGGATCTTCTGTCCTACTTTTTGGGATCCAACTAATTCTACTGAGATTTTTAAGATTTCAACAATCATAGTTTTTAAAACTTCTTAGTACTTATTTTTATTTTTAGATGTTTCCTTTTCCATAAAATTATATTTTTGTTTTATGACAAAGATAGCTTCTCCAGGTTTTCTGAATAGGTGTTTTTAACTTTTGGCCAACTATGGTAGCACATGCCTAACACAGGAAGCTGAGGCAGAAGGATTGCAAGTTGGAGGCCAGCCTCAGCAACTTAGCAAGACCATTTCAAAATAAAATCTAAAAAGGAGTTGGGATGTAGTTCAGTGCTAGAGTGTTTGCCTAGCATATGCTAGGCCCTGGGTTCAATCCCCAGTACCACCAAAAAATAAATTAAAAAATATAAATAAATAAAAGTTAATTAGCTTTTGTTCCTGAAGTAAATGATTTGTCTAGGACATTTTTTACCCTTTTATCTTGGTCTTTCTTTTTCAGGTAAAATTTATTTCTTCAAATGTTGGATAATCTGCTGGGCATTTTAGTGCATGCCTATAATCATAGTGACATGGGAGACTGAGGCAGGATTGTAAGTTTGAGGCCAGCCTTAGCAACTTAGTGAAACTTTATCCCTCCCACCCCACCCCCTGCCTAAAAAAAAAGACTGGGAATGGGAATGTGTCTCATTGGTAGAGGAGCTGGATTCAATCCTCAGCATAAAAATAAATAAACAAATAAATAAGTTTGATAATCTTTGTGTATTCATTCATATTTAGAAGGTAGCAACAGTCAATTTAATTAGGATCTTTGTATAATTGACCATGTAATTCTTCTCTGCAAAATGTCTTTAAAGCTAGTGTTCCAGAGAAAAATCATTTGTGAAACATTGTTTTAGACTACAGTCTACTGATAAATCTAATTTTCTATCATCCCTCAGAATTTCAGGTCAGCCCTCTGAAAATTAGGAATTCTTTGTATAGAGTATGACTCTGACCCTAAGTATGTACACAACTTTCATCTAACATGGCAAACGGGGTAGCTCTCACCTGTTTCCTGGACTTATTTGTATTACTGCCAACATTTGCTTGGAAATTCCCTAAACTCTTGTTGCCTATAATGCATCCTGGTTCACCTGTTTAGCTCCATTACTTTGTCATAAATTAGCCTTTAATCAACTGCTCACATGTTCACTCTTGAGAGGTTCACTCACTCACTCAGCTTCAAGTAGCATCTCTCTTCTGGAACTCCCAAGGATCTACCTCCTGACTCAACCTCTCAGCACCTGTAGTTTTTTGTTTCTTCTCAGATTAGCCACATTTTGCTGAAACCATCAGCATTTCCTTAGGAGGAACTATGTATAATCACTATGAGCCCTTCAGCATTCACATAAACAGAGGAGAGATTCAGAGAATTCATCTTACCGCTATCAGTTTCAAAATAAATAAGCCAAAATCAAATCCAAGGGCATATCAAGCCAGCAACAGAATTCACTGGACTTAACCCACAGAATCATATTCTGAAAAAAAAAAATAAAAAGTAGAAATGGCATTTAATAGATACCACATACTTTCAGAGGATGTACTGGAAGGATTTCCTTAGATCTTATTCAAGCTGGGATTTTATGGAGCTAGCTTAGCATTTGGGCAAAAATTACCGCCTAATAAGGCAAGAAGAAATACCTCTTTTTATCAATGGATAGAAAATATAATTGATAGTTTCCTTTTTTTTCTTTGCTTGAGGTCCCAGGGATTGGACCCAGGGCCTCACTTGTGTTAGGCAAGTACTACCACTGATATATCTCCAGCGTATTGATGTTTTGGAAGAGAAAATCCTTTATAGTCTCCTATATTCCTAATTTTTATTACATTCTTGCTCAAACTAGGACCCCTGTTGCTAAAATTTGTCTACTGGTGTGCTTACTGCGTTGCTGAGGATTGGGGCAACATCAGCTCTGCTTACTGCTCCCGGGGCCGCCCTGCCTCAACTCCAGTCAGCCTCTATCATGGCAAAGAGTTGGCTAAGCCTTTTCTTAATGTCAGGCTCACTCGGAGCGCGGCAGGATTTTGTGTGCACCCTGATGTGCTCCGCCAGCTTGGACCTATAAATGAAGCCCTTCCCACAGTCGCCACAGGCAAAGGGCCTCTCCGGCCTGTGGATGCGCTGATGCCGGAGCATGTGTCCCCTTTCCCGGAAGTTCTTATCACACTCAGGGCAGTGGAAGGGCCTCTCCCCTGTGTGCAGGCCTTGGTGGCTGAGCAACTGTGCCTTCAAGCGGAAACTCTTGTCACATTTGGGACACTGGAAAGGCTTCTCCCCGGTGTGCGTCCTGATGTGTTCCACGAGCTTCGACTGCTTGGCGAAGCCCTTGCCACACTCACAAGAGAATGGCATCTCTCCGCTGTGCAGCAGCCGGTGCGCCTTCAGGTCAGCCTTCACGCGATAGCACTTGTCGCACTCAGGGCACTGGAAGGGTCTCTCTCCCGTGTGCAGGCGCTGGTGGCTAAGCAGCTGCCCCTTCAGGCGGAAGCTCCTGTCGCACTCTGGGCACTGGAAGGGCCGCTCGCCGCTGTGCACGCGGAAGTGCTCGGTGAGCTTGGACTGCCGGGTGAAGCCCTTGCCGCACTCGGCGCACGAGAAGGGCCTCTCCTTGCTGTGGGTGCGCTGGTGCGCCTTCAGGATGCCCTTCAGGCGGAAGCTCTTGCTGCACTCGGGGCACTGGAAGGGCCTCTCCCCGCTGTGCACTCTCAGGTGCTCGCGGAGCTTGCACTGGTGCGTGAAGCCGCGGCCACACTCACTGCAGGCGAAGGGCCGCTCCCCGCCGCCGTGCCGCAGCTGGTGGGCTCTCAGCGTGCTCTTCAGGCGGAAGCTCAGCTCGCACTCCGGGCACTGGAAGGGCTTCTCATCTGTGTGCAGCCGCTGGTGCCTCAGCAGCTGGCCCCTCTGGCGGAAGGCCCTGCTGCACTCCGCACACCAGAAAGGCTTCTCGCCGCTGTGGACTCGGGCGTGCTCAGTGAGCTTACACTGCTTGGTGAAGCCCTTGCCACACTTCCTGCAGGAGAATGGTCCCTCCCTACTGTGCACACGCTGGTGGACCCTTAGCAGGCCGCTCAGATGGAAGCGCTTGTTGCACTCCGAACACTGGAAGGGCTTTTCTCCCGCGTGCACTCTGAAGTGGCTGGCCAGCTTGCACCTTGAGAGGAAGCGCCTGCCACATTCCAGGCAGGGGAAGGGCCTCTCCCCACTGTGGCTGTGGCCCCACTGCAGAGCCTCTGCGTCCCCCCACGGGCAGTGCTCCTCACAGTCCAGGCCGAGTCCTGGCTCTTGCCCTGAGTGCACACCAATGCCATTTCTCCAGGAGGCTGGCCTCTCCCCTCTGTGCTGGCACTGGGGAGCCTGTGCACTGTCCGTGGAGAAGCCGCTCTTGTTGCATCTGTGGTACTGGGAAGGCTTCTCCCCCTCGTGCCCGAGGTGGTGGCTGAGAAGGGTCTGCTCCTGACAGAAGCACATTTTGCATTCAGGGCACTGGAATGGGGTCTTCTTTGTATGGACAGCCATATGTCTCAGCAAGTACTGCTTCCGATGGAAGCTCTTCCCACACTCAGGACATCGGAAGTGCCTCTGTGTCCTGGAGATATCCCACTGCTCCTGTGCAACAGCTTGTTGGTTGAACTTCTTCCAGGCTCTACATGATGCATCCTTGGAGTGGCTCCTCTGGTGCTTCACCAAGTGATTCTTTTTCCAAAACCTTTCTCCACAGACAGGGCAAGAGTGCTGGGTGCTTTGCCAGGAGGGGCCTTCCTTCAAGCCAGGGTGACCCACAGCTCTGTGACTTGGGATTTCTTCTCGATGTGCAGACTTGCTGGAGCTGTAGACCACTGTAGCTAGAGCCTGTGTGTCGTGTGTCTTTGTATTCATGAGGGTAATGCTGTGGTCAGGCAGGAAGGAAACATCTTCCCTTTTCCCTAAACTCCGTCCATGGGAATACTGGCTCTGAAGAGGACTGAACTGGAAATGACATTTAGTTTCTCCTGATTTTACAGTTTCCTGGCTTCCTGAAATTGAAAACAAAAATTCAGTCAGTTTTCTCATCCACAGCATGACTAACGACTATAAAGTGATCCATAATAGTGACCTGGGTGGTCTGAGAACCCAGCTTTCACTAAACTACTCAGCCATGTCATGTGGTTCTATTTCATGACCAAAATGAGTTTGGTGACAGTCTGC